TTCTGCACGTCTGCGGGAAAACTTTTAGGACAGTCGGGTTGCACTTGCCGGCCAACTAATGGGTTTTCTGTCACACAGCCGCTTGGCCTCACATTAATGATCGCAACGATGGAGGGGAGGGGGAGTAGAGGGGAGGCTGGACCTCACAACGGGGAGCGCTCGCTTACTAATGTCTACTGTCTCAGGGAAAGTGCGGGAAGGCCCGAGATCAAGAAATAGATCTATTTCCACTCTTAATCCAAATTGATATTTAGAAAACATGAATCACTTTTTTTACGTGCAAGGACTTAAATATGCTCGCTACATGATGTTTACAGTATTGTTACAGAGCAACAGTAGGCGGCCTGTGTGCTACACGAAACGGACAAAAAGCAACAAGCACGCGATGTCTGCTGAACACGAGGGATATGTGTCGCTGCTGGATAATGGACTTCAGGTCTACGTTGCCTCGTACAGAAGGGGCCTTATGGTGCACGGAAAGGTGCTCTGATGCATTAAAAAAACATGTCGGAGGAGTTGTGCATGTCAATAAGCCCCAGAGATGGAGACAGGAGATGGAGGCATATGGAGAATATAGCGTGCATGCAGTTATTTGCTTACTCTCTTCTATAGGACGCTCATCAATGCCAACTCCAAAGCCTATGACCTGAATCCTACGTGCGAATGCCGAATTCTTTGAGGAAAAAAAAAATGAAGAGGCATAAGTTGAAGGGATATAAATATATTTAAGGCAGTTAAATATTTCAGCTCAGAAGCCAGGAAATATTGCAAATGTGACGTTGGTAAATTGAACGACTCTCTCACAGGCCGTCATATTTGGAAATAAATTGCAAAACGGCAAACCGAGCAATGATTCCCTTCATTCTGGCATGCATAACAAGTTGACATTTGCGCTAAAGCCTGACAAGTCGGAATTTCTAGGCTGTCGGGTTGTGTCTTATTACTCCATTTCGAAATGCCGCTGAAAAACAAGGTTATCCGATGCATCCGAGCCTCGAGGCGCTTCCCCAGCGCAGGCGGCTGTGTCGTGTCATCCGCAGGATGAGGGCACTGCTCCACAAACGCAGGCTTTCTTTCGCAAAAGCGGCCCCTGCTGGGCTCTGCGGGCGGCACCGACGAATGGGGAAACGGCCGCAGAGGGTTCCCGGCCCGGCTAACGGCGAAAGAAAACGCACAACGTCTCCGTGCGCTGTGCGTGCAAAAGTGAGCAGAAACGTACGCCGCGAGATCAACGGCGTAGCATCAGGTGCAGGTAGTCGTGTCACCGAGGACGTGTGGCTTTGAGTGACGGAGAAAACAAATGGAAAATACCAACACGGTTGGTGGATGCCAAAAGTTACCGAGCAGTCCGGGCCTGCCGTTAGCTAGCTGAGGTGGAACGCTGGAAGGCAGATTGCTCGGGGAGCCAGACGCCAAACTCCTGCTTCTTTTCATTTAGCAGCTTAACCAATCCAAATTCCACAACCAGGAGTGCAGATTCATCCTTACTCTCCTGACTACGTTGGATAACAATGCATGAATCACCGCTTTGGAAATTGCTTTCCCCAATGGGGTTTTAAATTAAAACTATAAGTGAATTCATTATTGGTGCTCCCTCTCAGGACATCCCGAGCCAGTTAACTCACCAGCGCTTTGTCATACATTGCAGACTCCCCGACCTCTATGTCTTACATCAGGAGTAATTAGCTCACACTTGTGTACAGTGAGTAACTACACTGCAATCGTTATAAATAAAAAAAATGTCCGTAAATGAACTTGCTTTTTCAACTCCCGCGTTCGGATTTGAGAGTTTTAAACCTGGAACTTTCCAATCTAGTATCCTTGCATCTTGGGAAAGTGGTGGAATCTATGGCGGCGCTTTGGGATTACAAAGCCATGACGTAAGTAGTTGATGCATTTCAGCGGGACGAGAATAGGTTTCCCAACTCAGCGCAAATCACACAATATTATTACACAAAACAACAAGCTATTAATGTTGCACTGTACTAACTAGCTGCTGCACATCTATGCAGCCCCCAGGGCAGGGGAAGTTTAAATAAGACTCAGATTGACAAGTCAGGGGATTACCCAGGTCAGTTATTCAAGGAACTATGAGAATAGTAAAAGAAAATGACGTCTTCATCTTCACGGTAGCATTTTAAGGATATTTCAGTATGATTTATCATCTGGGGGACCATGGATACATGAGCACAATGTTGTGGTCAGCTATGTACTACATGTGAGATATTTCACTAAATAAGAAGACTTCAGAAGAAAACTGGGAAAAAAATGCGTCCATCCCCTGGTGTGTCGCAATTGGAGAGATTTTTTCGTTAAAAGACAGGAACGCAGACATCATGGTCGCACAAGAAATAAAAAAAATAAAAACAGGATTGGCCAACGTTGGTATAATTGCTTTTTTGAGGGAACATTAATGTCTGAAATAACAACTTGAGTAAAATCAGACTGAACAGAATCGGTGGCCCGGCCGACTGACACACATTGCCATCCCTAAAAACCTTCTAATCACGATGTCAATGATATGCGTGGAAGAGAAAGAGAGGAATACAGAACGGAAGGCAAAAGACAAAGGAAAAAAAAAATCAACGGAGTAGGAAATAAAGAGAGACGGACAAAAACGGAGCAGCTGGGAATAAATAGCAGATCCAGAGATACTGAGTGACAGAGATGCTGAGAGAGACAGTAAGGGGAAAGGATGGCAAACACGAGAGAGAAGGGACGCCGTGAGGCTTCTTGGATGAAGCGTGTTCAGATAAGAGCTGTTCAACGGGCCCTTAAGAACCTGCCACGCCCACGTGTCCACTCTGAGGCTCAGCGGATCCCAGGCAGCGAGCTCTTGAAGTTAAAGTACTGAAGCTGACGAGAGGAGAAATATTGATGTTCTCCCTCCCTATAGATGCTAATCTATGAAAACAAAGTAATATAGTTAGTATAATTGATACTCTCTCTCCCTCTATATATATATATATATATATATATATATATATATATATATATATATATATATATATACATATACACATTTTCTTATTCAATGAGAATAACGTGGCTAACATTTTACAACAATTATAACTCACTACAAATGTTCTTTAACAGCGTAAAACATCCTGACAACAGTTTGTGAAACATACATAATTTGTAAATTGTAAATTCATAAAATGACCATATACTATTCCTATTGTATGACATGTTTGTCTGGAGTCCTGTGGGCGGCATGCTGGAGAGAGTCATTGTGGATTTACGTTTTCAAACATTTGAACGGTGGAGACACATTTTTAACCAGATTAAATCCACAGCTATGCTAGCAGCTCCTTGAGCCTCCCAGTGGTGCTTTGAGCTAAATGCTAACATTAGCACGGACATGGTGACATCTTTAATGAAACTTCACCCAAAGTAGCATTAGGCTGATGGGGGGGGTCCTTAACCTTGTGAAGAGACTCTAAATCATCATCTGGGGACCATGAATGTCTGTACAAAGTATGCCAAGGGGAATAAAGGAATTAGGGACATTTGGACCTGCTGCACTAGCTGAACATGTATGTTGACAGGTATTTGTACAATAGTCACATACATTTTTGAGGCAATTCACGAGGAAAAGCGAGGATTGGAATCAACACCTTCCAGTGCAATCATAGCAGCAGTTGTTTGGTTTCTCTGGTCAGCCGTAGTTGACGCCCCCACCGGCTTCGTCTGCTCTCAACAGGTGTTTAAAAATGTGAACATTTACATAATTATTACTTTTTTACTTCTTCTCCTACTATTTCTTTCTTCGCAAGGTTAGCGAGGCTCTTCTGTGTCCATACCTCCAAAAACTCCCTTTAAAAGTAAAACCTATAATCATCTTAACTTAAATCTGAAATTGGATCCAACAAAAGGCAGCAATCGTATTTGAACTCGGCTACGAGAGAAAGGGCGAGAGAGGAGGTGCGACGAGCATGAAAGTAAGTAACAGATGAGTCAGTTGATGCCTCGTCTTAAAACTCGCCTTTAATCAGCTGGCCTCCATCTAAAAACACAAGTTCTTCATAGCTGTTACCCTCCGTCTTTGAAGACGTCCACTGATGTATCGCACGGTGGGAGTGACCTCAAAGACAGATTGATGCCTTTTGATTTGGTAACCTATTTGTATAGGCTGTAATTGTATTGGTTTTGTCCCTCATTCCTTTAACGCAGGACATCGGGAGTATCAGGAGCCAAAGCCCTGAATAATGCCACTATACTGGGATTCTAGTAAATAAAAACCAGCATGAAGGGAGTTGTGACCAAGAATGATCAGAGGGTTTTTTGATAGGAATCTTCTCCCACTGTGGGGAAAGGCTTTGCTACAAGCATGCAGGTTAAAATAAATGTACCCGAATATGTTCTTTCTCAGCCTTTTCTTTGGGAACTATTAACTTTAACCAATGTTCTTTTGAATCTTTTTGAATTAAAGATAATCCATACAGAGTTCACAAATCCAAAATTACCTCGACAAAGACAGTTTTTGTGTGAGAAACTGGTCCGTGTGGAGGATTGGACATCAGAATTGTTCAAACAGATTCACCTGACTGCAATCGTCCGCTCATAACAGATTTCTGGTAATTCCTGGGACGGACGAGACAACTTGGGTCAGCTGAGGAAGTTGGAAGTGGCAAAACAAATTGAAGCTTATCAATGATATGCAACAAGAACAGGGCAGACTAAAAAAAAAAAAAAAGAGGCCAAAGAAGAAAAAAGAGGAGAGGTTTTCTATGTGACACCATCAGGCCGTGTTGTTACCGTTAAGAGGCCGGGTCCCCGTCCACCCCCCCCCCCCGTCCCCGGGGAGCTGGCAACCAAAGTCACCTTCTGGCAGCTGTCGACTGTCATCTACTAATGCACTCACAGCGACTTTTGAACCTCCCACTTAATGACCGTGGTGGTAATGGGGAGGGATGTAGGCTGGATTTCGCCGTCGGCGCCGCCCGCTGGGTACGAAGCCACATATGGATTGTTATATGGACCCTTTTCTGCGTGCCTACCTGAAAGTCCCCCTCCTCCAGAATCTCCTTCCTCCACCTCACCAGGAAGGCGGCGCACACGTAGAGGTGGAAATGGGAGAAGCCCTCTGGTTCGGCCTGCGGTGCGGGGGAGACGAGAGAGAGAGATTACCATGTTGATTTATAACAACATTGCACCCGCAGCGGCTCGGGATGCCTCAAACAGCTTTCAGCGCATTTCATTTTCGAGATTAGGAAGCATTTCTACAAGATGTATCGAGTCGGAGCGCTGCACCTTTTCTTTAAAAGGATATAAAACATCTTCTGTCCCAATCCCAAAAGTCACATTCGCAGGGAGACGGTGACAAAGAAAGACACGAATCCCCTCTTCTCTGCTATATTTTCATTTCAGCCCCTCGTTATGTTTGGCGGCTTTTTGAAAGAACAAAAATAATGTATGCCTGTGCAATAAGCTGGGGAATTAAAGAGCGAGAGAGACAAAAGATTAGATGTTCCTTGTTCTATTTTTTTCACTCTGGCGCTCTATCAGAGGGAGGATAATTATGAGGGCCTTTGAATGTAAGTGAATAGGGAATATATGCCCTCTTAAAGGTGGAATTGAATACCAAAAGAGCATTTTAAATATGTGAGCTTTTCTCAATGCATTCTGGCACGCACATCTGAGGGTTTAGTTAGCTGCATGCTGTGCGTTATTTGAACAAGTCATGGCATTCAAATGTGGGATTTCACTCATGAATCTGTGAGTGTGTGTGTGTGTGTGTGTGTGTGTGTTTCCCATCTCACAGAAGTACTTGAGTGGAAGGTACACACCAATCCCAATCCCACTCTTAGTAGATAACATTAGAATGTGAATTTATTCACGCACGCTCTCTGATGAGTCTCCTTCGATTTGCATTTGGTGGTGAAGGAGCGTTCATATACGTCCACTTTTCACAACCCAGGCATCATTCACAGCTTTAGGACACTGACGCTCTAACATAGAACACGGATGCTATAAGGACACTGACACTCTAACATAGGACACGGATGCTCTGCGGACTCTTCGGCCCATGTGAGTGTATAGAAGAGCCTGAGGTTGCACACATGTTTGAATAAACCAGCCATGTTCATCACATTTTGCATCTGATTTTACAGGATTGCAATTAGACGGCACCAACTCGTTTCCACTTTTCCCTGAGTAACCGACCGCTGCTGTTTAACCACCGTGCTCATTTGCGTATAACAGCCGGCCATAACTCTGCAGGAATTAACAGGAACTGCCTTTCTGCTGCGATAATTGAATTACCCCCCAGGATGGAGGGAAGAAAATAATAGTGGATAGAGGCGCGGAGGAGGAATACTAGGGGAAATATAAACTTATGAAATGATAGCAGCGGTGTGTCAGCTCTCTTTCTACACTGCGTGTTTCTGTCTCTAAAGACACAGACTTATTTCATCCTCCCCGGACCTTAGCTTACGTCTCCTGTTTGAGTTTCCTCTTCCTTCACCCATTTAGTTAAACCAAATTTATGAGTTTACCAACCGAGAGCATTTGTCTGTGCTTCTGGGGGGTTGAGAAAGTGAGTAATAGAAATCAGTGGGGAGAGGGAGGAGGGAGGGGGGTAGGTAGTTGTGTTTGTGAACAGCCGCGCGTGATGTGAGTTGTAAACTGACAGGTGATTGGCTTGTTGGTCTAACCTCAAATCTACATTCCAAACAACAGAAGCAAACAAACGCTCCCACGCACACAAGTTGGTGTACGAGAGGCATACAACCTCTCGCAATGTTCATCAGCCCAACAAAGCTTTGCACACTTCTTATTTCCTTCCGTTTGTGTGTGAGTCAATGGTTGAGGGCCTTGAACTCTCATGCACTGTCAATGTCACTCTCTCTCTCTCCACGCATTCCCACGGCGCTCCAACCCTTGTATGTGGAATAGGGTTGACAATATATTGAATTTTCAGGGCAGGTGGTTCACAAAAGTGATACCATGGCCTACAAAAACAAACTAAGAAAATATTCATATGTTTGATTAACATAATTTCAACATTACATTCAAGTACGAGTGCAACGGATCACAAACCTCACGGTTTGGTTCGGATCACGAGTCACTTTTCGCATTATTTTTCAGATCAGCAAAAGAAGATGTGTGGCCATGCTTGATGCACCGCCGTGTTCGTATTGTCTACCAGCCTTACTCCATCATTAGATTTTACGGGGAAGCCAAAATACTCCCAAACATACGAGGAAGTTGTAACACGCTGGTGGCCTTTGAAGTTCCTCTGCTCGCCATAGATAGATAGATAGATTGATACTTTATTGATCCCTCAAGAGGGAAATTTTGGTATCACAGCAGCATGTACAGGGAAGAAAATAGAATAAAAAGGTACACATTATATACAATATAATAAGATAGAAATATTAAATTATTAAATTATGTTATATAAACTAAAACTGAAATGACCTTCACCGTTAAATAGTCCTGACCCGCTTTGTTTACGTGAACAACCTACTGCTTTATATCTGTTTACTAATACCCAGGGACTTGTTAATACAAAAGGAACATCAGCAGAAACACTTTATGACACACTACGATGATTAGACTATTAACAATAGTTGTTGACCCGCGGGTCACAAGTGGTCCGAACCGTGAGGGGTGATCCACTACATTTAATACAGATACTTCACACAGGACGTCTGTTATGCTTTGCACAAGAAATGATGATTACCGTTCGTGGCAGTCCAACATGTTATCAACTTTATTTTTTACGCTGCAACGTCCCAAACGAAAATAAAATGATATAAAATGCATAGCGTGAACCAGTCTTCCACTGTGTGACCACGCATCTGCCTCCTTGTGACACTCCCTGCTGCCCTATCCATGCCCTGCTACAGCATCCGCCGAAGGCTTTCTCATCATTATGATCCTTCAAAATAAAGAGTCAAGGCATCTCTGTCAAACTCGCCTATGCCGCTTCTCCTCCCCTCATTGTTATGCCTGGTCCCCCCTCCCGCCCATGTGTCACGGCAGCCATCATGGGCGGAACTGACGAGTGGTGCCGATCAAAGGAGGGAGATGGGAGAGCCGATGGGGAGAGAGGTGAGAGGGAGTGCATGAGAGTATGGAGAGGATAAAGGGGCTGAAGGTGCACGGGAGAGCGTTGCAATGTCACGCTGTTTTTTCAGACTGCTCCGCTGGCGCTGCGACGGGTGTCATCGCTCCGAAACAAAGCGGCCCGACGTGGGAATAACTCGATACCCTGACGTGCCGACTCCAGACGGGGTGAAAAGGTGCTGTTGCTGGGAGGGTGATGCAAGGTGATAAAAGAGCAGGTTTAAGCTGATCGGATACGATGACGCTTGAACTCCGGGCCGGGCCCTCAGGGCTGAGATAGCGTTCGTGCTTGTGCGTGTGTGTTTGTGTCTCTACAGCATACATCTAAAGCACCGATTGAAGATAAAGAAGGGGCATGGTGAAATGTAAATTACAGTGAGAGATCTCAGACCAAATGAATACAAGGATTTCTATTTAAAATGCAAGAAAATGGGGCTCTTGGGGGAATTAATGCCACAGGAACGGCTCTTGCTAACGTTATTTCCAAAATGAACTTGAGCATAGTTTCTGTCCCTATGTGTGCTTCGCTTCTATTCCGTGTCTAGCTCAAGGATACATTTTAAATTGCCACAGACTAGGGTTAATTAAAACGGAGGAAAAAAACGCACCGTGAAATAATAAGTATCAGTATTCCCATCGAGTTGCTCCATTTCAGATCGCAGAATCGGACAATAAAAGACAACGAGGGAGAACAATTGATGCTTATGTCAGCAGCAGTGCAAAGGGGGTACACAGAGAGGAGAAAGTTAAGTGCGGGCGTGTGTCTTTATGGAAGGTAGCGAGGCGTGTGTGCGTGTGTGTGAGATCAGGGTCCACTCTGCAGAGGCTTGTTGGACGTAACGGCGAGGCGGACCCCAACTACAGATAAGAAACACAGAGGCGGCAGAGGTGAGGCGGGCCACTTCCCTCTGGGATGCTCACACACTCTCCTTCTCATTCCGTCGGCAGGCAGGTGCTTTATTCTTATTCGAGAGTGCATGCAACCCTTGTGTGGTCAGATAAAGATATGAAGACGTGAAGTGCTGCATTTACAAGGCTTATATTTCTTAAAAATAATATTCTTTGATTAAAGGATGCTATCAAAGACATGCTCTAATGGGAGCATTTATTTTACTGAGAAATCAGCTCTTTCTTTCCCATAATTTATTGCCATGACATACTGACAGACTGCATGAATCTTTGTGGAGAATATTCCATGCAACCATCTAATTTGGGTTTTTGCGCAAATATGGGTAAAGCTCTATTGAGGAATAGCGAGAAGGGAAAAGGCACCTTATGCAAGAAAATCTCAGGCATGTGAAACCTGGTATGGTGGATAGAAAAATATAAACTCAATTTGATAGCTTGACAAGGACTTTTATCAATTTCCTACAGAGACATTGTTGACAATTCAGTTTCTTTAATCGCTTCTTTAATCGCTTTTGACTCAATTTTAGAAAATGGAGCCTTCAAAGATATGCTTAAGCAAAGACAATCGACCTAAACAATGTAATAACTGAATACATTCGACTAAGGCTGGAAGAGAACAGATATTGAGGTCAGAAGTAGAAATCATAGCCTTTACTTAAGTAAAACTGTGCATTTACTGTGATACCACGAGGGGAAGTGCTCTCTCTGCAGTTAATGGCCCATGTGAATATTGATCAAATAATTCATTACTAGATGTTAACAGTGATTGATTTATGTGTGAGCAGTTTTTGGTGGCTAATAGTTTAATCTTTCTCAATTAATTACATGATATGCTGATTAATTAATTCCAATTATTTAGATATTTCCATATGTGCATGAAAAAGCCCCAAAAGGACGACATTTCAACCAATTTATTTGATTTCTTTTCGTCCACCACAAAAACTGCAGCTTCTTTTGTCAATGGTTTATTCATTTAGTCCTTTAAAATATCAGCATACGTTGATGTAGTAGAGTTTAAAGTAACCTGAAGTGGAATCAAACCAGCACTCAGGGGTCGCTGTGCGTGTATCTGATTCATTTGGTTCATGCCGTTTAAACTCACTCGTAGCTAATCTTCTGACTCTTGTTGCAGTAAATGGCCTCGTCTTCTTTTTTTGCGCCACAAATCAACACATGAAATCACATTTTGCCCAATGGTATCAGATGTGGCCACTTACGACGGCGAGCAGCTCCCCGCCCGGTAACGACAAGCGTCCATATGGAACAGGACCATATTTCACAACCCCCGAAAAGTGTCGCGGTCTCCCTTTAACAGCCATGCTAATGCTGCCACACTGAGCTACTTGCTAATTTCATGCTCCACGCCACAGGGATAATTTGGTCCCTGTCTGTTTCTCCGTCTGTGTGTGTGTGTGTGTGTGTGTGAGGGGGAGAAAAGGTGTGTGGGTTTCCATGTGTGAGCGTGTTTCTCTCCACATCACTCATGTTTCTCCCTCTCGTCTCAGTCATGAGATCAACAGTGACAAATGGAGAAAAAGTGAGTGTGACGTGTGTGTGTGTGTGTGTGTGTGTGTGTGTGTGTGTGTGTGTGTGTGTGTGTGTATGTGTGTGTGTGTGTGTGTGTGTATGTGTGTGTGTGAGGGGGGGGTGATTTGGGCTGAGGGCAAAATTGACAAAAAGAAATGAAAAGGGAAAAACAAAAGACCAAAATGGAGAAGGGCGAGCAGACAGAGGGAGAGTACGGAGGGAGCCCGTGTGGGGCTGGATCCGGGTCCGGAACAGATGGCCGCGCCGCGGAGGGAGGACTTTACAGCGTTCAGGTTCAAATCTCCCCCGGAAAACACACACACGCGTTCAGTGGCAAATGTCTCTCGGCCTATTATCTACGTTTGTGAACCATGTTTTTCATCCCCGGCGAGGCAGAGATCTTTCCCGCTCTGCGGTGTTTCACTGACAAAAAAACTGCATTATTCTGGTGAAAAGAAAAATCCAGGTTGTTCTGACGATGGTGAATAATGCATTCAAAGGTTTCATTGGCTCTAAGCTCACTGTGCCCCAAGCGGAGGTTTGCGGAAGAACCAACTTTGTGCAAAGACAGGATGAGAACACGCACCGGGGGGCTCTTTCAGCGGCGAGTCTCCCATTAGTCGCTCCAAATCTCGACTAGGTCGGCGCACCGTTCGGATCGACTGGCCAGTATAGCGGCGAGGGCCGAGGGCATGCGTGACGAGGAAAGATACGGTCGATCCAAACGGCATTGTAAAAAAAACAATAAATATTCAGAGGATGGAAGTACAACGTGTACTTGGGCTGCAGTCAAGTCACGACAATTAAACCCAACGCTTTTTAAATCATTCATGCCAGCTTTTCCTATTTTTCGAGACACGTGGGTGCACTCCCCCCTCACCCAAAGGCACCAGACGTACCCCTTACCACCACTAAGCGATCCTGGCGTTCCAGCAGACTACTCCGGCCAGCCCAGTGCACGCTGGGACGGGTCACCGTCCACAGAGCGTTCCCAGGCGCTGTCCAAAATCAATATTATGAAACCAACGCATATAAATCAACTGCGTGGCCTGATTAATAGAAGATAAACTGAGGCGTCAATGTGGCTTTAAGTCATCCATGAGTGTTGCAACTGTTCTGACAACACGATGTATATCACATTAAAAAAAATGACACTAGGGGTTGCAATTAAATGTCTGGTCAAGTTGTTATGTTTTACGGTGCTGTAAATCCGATTAGATTCTTTCTCATTTGGCTTGTTAGCTTTTCTTTCACCCTTTTCTCTTTCAGCAGGCCGGCGATTTGATTTGTCTCTGCGCTCTCAACCGTTGAAAAAAAGAAGAAAAAATGACGGCTTGTTACCATTGACACCGCACAGACGTTTGAGTGTGAAAGATGCAGCAGAGGCGTAGTTTCCAGCTTTACTTCATCAGAACAATCGAGAGGGTCGGAGAGGTCACCCGCTCCTGCTCTATTCTCCTGAGCGTGTGCACCTCTCGCCCTGTCTGTCTGTCAATGGAGCAAAAGAAAAGTCCCGACACACAAACACCCGATCGCTCTGTCTTTCCCGCCAGCTGGCTGTGGTTCAGTCCAAAATGCACCACAAAGATGGAATAATTTAGTACCAGCTGGGGGGACTCAGGAGTGCACAGGATCCGTGTTTTATTCACAGATTTTATGCAGCTTCCTGTCACTGGGATAAGAGAATCTATGCTGGCAGTTGGGATCGATTAGAATCGATCATGAAAGAAAGAAAAAAAGTTGCCAACGGGGGGGGGGGGGTAGAGGTTTTAATTCCAAAAAGAAATGTTGGATGACGGACACAACCCGTTCACGTCTACTGACAACCACACTGAGCCACACACGCCGCAGAGAAGACTTCACATTCTGTCACGGTTGGTTTTAAAAACTAAGATTACACGTGTAATCGTCATCCAAGCGAACACAAACTCCCAGTCCTGTTATTAATTATCATAAAGGCAGTTAGCTGCAGCAGGGTTATGTAAACATAAATATTTGTAGGCGATGGTAAATTCCTGGATTAAAGACTCACGGTTTAAGTGCTCATATGGCCGTGCTCTAAATTTTAATAATGCAAACTAAGACGTTTCCTGAGATGATTAAAACATTTTCAGTTTGCTCCGCCCTGAGCTCGCGGTAACGTAAAACGTTTAACACAATTAGTAAGGAATGCTTCTTTACACGCCAGCAGTGGAGTTCTAGCAGCATTCGAGGGTGCTAACACTAACTACATCTGACACAGAAAGGGCCGCGGGATTCTTAACTCGAGTAAAGCACAGAAAGTTACGTGGCTTTCTCCCGTCAGCTGCAATCTATTTCATTCCACCCGAAAGTTCAGTCAAGTTCACAAAGATTTAGACCAGATCTATTTGGTGTTTATTCATCCAAGCAACGGTTTTTCAAAGATTGGACTAAGCACTAAAACTAGGTATTTCCACTTTCCACCTTGAAGTTTCCTCTTTTTTTTTATCTCGTATGCTTCACAACGTCACACCTTTTGCCTTTTCTCCCCCTTTCATCCTCAATTTACCCCACATTACTCCCCCATTCCTCCACCAATCCCACCGTGAATCGCTGACAACCTTCTACACTGAGAATGTCTACAACAAGGTACGACCAAACAGATGGCCAACTCAAATACTCCTTTAGACAAACTAGAGCCACCCCTTCTCTCCCTACCTTTCACAATAAAAGCTCTGAACATAAAAGCATCTGCAGATCTTTTCAAACCTTCATTTGCGTCACAGATTTGCACGTACTCTGCATTTTCCGCTAATCATTCGTCTCGCCCTGAGGTATGTGAAGGCCTTTATGGCGGAAAATGTCAGCTTTGTGAGCCCCGCGCAAATGTTACTGGGTGAATGTGAAAAGAACATCTGCATTTCATACTTTGCCATCTTAACAAGGAATGACAACATGCAGGGGCGGGGGGGGGGCTGATTGATGCAGAGGATGGTGGGAGAGTGGCAGACGGCCTCGGAGGACACTGTAGCACGGACAACAGCATGTGGTCGTGCAAACAACTACCGCGGTGTTCGTTTTGAACTGCAGCCTGGGGTCTGAATCGGTCTTCGGGCGGCTTCTTGCCACCCCGCCCGTCTCACCAAACACAGCTGTGGACTACCCACACAGGTTCCAGCCCTGTGCACGCACCCCGACGAATCGACAGTGGACATGTGGGTGTTACGGAAAACGCCAACATTCTGGTGTAACTTATTAAGCCGCGTGTAAATGTAAAAGGCCGGCGGAATAAGCAGGTTCAAATGTGTTTGAAAGGGATTAAGATCCAGCTCGCTCTCTCTTTCTCGCTTAGCAGACATTTACACATCTAGGTCAACACAGTAATGGGCTTTACTTACACTTTGCACAAAAGAACAGAGTAGCCATAACATTAAAGCACATTTTAAATTGCAACTAACAAAGGAAAACCGTTTGTTTAATGCACAAATTACCTGTCTTTTGTTTTATTACTGAATGAACTAATCCTTTGCAATCCCTTAGTCGCAAGGAGCATTTTTCTTTTTTTTTAAACCTGTAAATCAGCTGCTCCTGTTAAACCAACAAGTAAAGTGTGTATTTGTCAGTAGCATGGATCGTTTTGGTAGGAGTAACAAAAGCATCGCTCCAGAAGCAATCACCGATGTCATTATCAGATGGTACGAGTCTGAGATCATAGGCAAAGCCAGATAGACGGACGTGGACGGATAACAAAAAGCTCAATAGGAGTAGCTCTTCCTCTGTGTGTGTGTGTGTGTGTGTGTGTTACCTGGTAGGTGTCCCACAGTCTGATCGTGCAGCGCAGTGGCAGCTCCCTCATCAGGAGGTTGTTCATCCAGCGGAAGGCAAACTGCAGGTACTCCACCTCGTACTGCTGCATGTGGCGGTGCACGGACTCTGTCGATAAAAAAGAAAAAGAATTCAGATTACAAACCCCCCCAAAAAACAAACATATATTTGACTATCCAACGTATTAATCATGTAAGAATGTGCCTTCACTGCCTCTACTGATTTTTCATGCAGAAGGGCTTATAAATATATAGAATTATATGATAAGATACAAGAAAAACAATGTACTTTAAAAGCTCTCTTAAAAAAATACTTTTTGACAAATGAGTAAAATCATTTGCTTAACAGCAGATGTAGAAACATTTTGTTTATAAACAAGAGTACGTGGCCCTCACCCCAGCTTTCGACCACAGTGCCGTTGTTTCTTGTGGGCACATGGCTTCATTGTCTTAAACATAGAATATCACAAGATCTGAAGGTTCTGTGCACATTACTGCAATCCAACTTCTCTCTACCATTAATAGCCTGTTTACAAATCATCAGTCATGGTTGAAGTAGAGAGACAGAGAGAGAGAGAGATATGGGTTAAACAAGGCGGTCGGGGTCGCGACCCTGAGACGCAGGCATGCCGGCTGGAGAGTCGGCTCTTGAAAAATGTTTGTTTTATGCTTCTTTTACATGACAAAATGATGAGAAAGAGCGCTCGGCATTCATCGACCTCTTCCATTGTCAACACGGCAGTGAAACTCATTCCTGCTCCCTCACAAACAAACACACACGGGCACGCACGCACACTCACTTCACAAAAGAGCTGTAATTAAAGAGCTGTCAGATAATCTATGAGAAAAAGAGAGTTGGGGCGGGAGTGTGGGGAGGGGGGGGGCATAGCATCCTCTTTCTTCACAGTGTTAATCAGGGCTGACTGACACATACCCACAAATATATACAGCTTTAATAAAGCTTTAATGGGTGAAACCTTGTGCAGGGTATTTCTGACCAAAAACATATACATTACTGCTTCCAAACACACGCACACACACACACAAATGGCACCTGTCACCCAAATGCATGTCCCACATGCATTTTTGACAATCTCGCACACACTCCACCACACGAGTGGGGCGCGAAGTAAACACAAAGCGATTATTTCACGCTCGTCTCTGCAGTTTAATTATCACGCGCTGCTGTAAAAGCATAAACAAGGCCAGCTCATTAACAGCTAATGCATCATGGTGACAGATCTGCGCTAGCTGCCAAACAGAGAGGGAGAGAGTGGAACAACTTTAGACAATGCTAAATTACACTAATGAACTCGCTCTGCCTAATATTAGCGACTCCACCAAACACAGAGAGGGAGAGGAGCGCGGCGGGGGGGGGTCGTTTGTCACCAGGAGTTATCACAGTGGGAAAGGACGAGAGACCGAAGGGCAGGGTAAAGTGGAGGAAAGCAAAGGAAAGGACAAAGGATAGGAGAGACGGGAGGGCAGGAAAATGGAGAGGGGAGGAAAGAAAAGGACAGAGGAGGAGAGGGGGCGAGGAAAGCAACGGAGGAAAAGAAAGAAGTGAATAATCACAAAACAGAAAGAAACATGAAAGACATCAGAATGAAATGAACCAAGGCGTTAAAGTTGTGCCCTTTAAACCCTTGGGCTGCAGCCCAGCTGGCCCCTGACTCTGCATGCTGGGTAGCCAGCCAGTAGTTGTCGGGGGCTTAGGGCGGTTAAGCCACGATGGCGGCCCGGCCGCGGCCGGGGGACGACAGCGCGGGGTCAGAGGTCGGCGTGGTGACAAGTGAGCGTAGTATTCTGCTGATGAGGCCAAATAAGCAGATCCCTTCCTCTCTGGGTACCAAACGTACTTACACGCTGTTACTTTTTCTTTCAGCATTTGACTTCGAACAAACCCGCTTCATTTTTTTTTTTTAACATACTTTTTTAGTTGTGAACCATTGTCATCGCTTCCTGTCCCTGTTAACATATAAAAAAAGAACGTTCTCATCTCGCCTAAACTTTTCTCATCCCCCCCACCCCTCCAGTCTCACCAGCTTTAGCACAGATTCAAACATGAGCTGAAACCAGGCAGCGAGGTCCTGTTGGGGAGGTGACTGCACCCTTCATTAGCTTCACTCGACAATACAAGTCTTGTTTAATTTACATCGGTTTTATTAGTTTCCGGTGAGAAGTTTGTCGAGTCACTTTGCTGTCGTAAACATTTCTGTTGCTGCTGTAGAAAACAACATTTGGTCTAAAAACAGTTTAAATAGGAAGATCTAATCCAGGTCAGTATTTAAAGACAACCAGGCTGTCATGGGATGTGCTTATCTAACATGCACGCTTTGATTTTTGTTTACTTATTTTAAATCACATCGTCCTCGCCCGATGTGCTGGTGTTTAAACAGGTGTTTGTCACCTTTGTGTCGCTGCATTTAAATACATAGACATATATTTACGTGTCCCTGGTACGAATATCTTCTTTGCCTGGTCCGTCACACGGGACGCTGCAGTGACAGGTAAACATCTTTAGTAACCAAGTCAAGTACGGGAGATGGAGCTCACAGCCGCGATGCGCGCTTACTTATTCCTCTCACACAATAAACAAGCAGAAGGTCACACATCTGTCACTGATTGCACAGGGGGCCCTTCAGCAATCGTGCATCAGACGTGTTGTCATGGTGTCGCTCTGCATACGCTACACGTGTGTGCAATGTCAAACATCAACGCTGCTCCGCTCGGTATCCGTGCAGGATGATAATAAAAATAATAATAATGTTGTGTAAGGAGCTGGATGAAAACACAAGGAGCAGCAGGCCTCGTGCAAGTACGTTGTGTACTCATATCTGGGAACGCAAACGCTGTTCAGAAAAAAAATTCTGAAAAGTGCAAATGGCATGAGGAGGCGTAATAAGTGTTGTGAACGGGTGGGCGTGTTCTTTAGATTAATTAGCGGCCAAGAGCAAAAACACAATTGGAATCAAATTCAGGTTTGGCATATTTGAGAGACAAGTGTGGATTTATTGAAAAAAATGAATCAAGAATGTATGTACCATCTATTTTAAGAATGTAAAAATGTTGGTTGGCTGTGAGGCGGAGTGCACCCACGTTGTAGCGGAGCTTGAGGACCGCCCTGCGGGAGTGATTGACCCTGGGACCCGATTGTGAAGAACCCAGAGCGGCTTTAAATAGTGGAAACACAAATCCCCACGTCTTCTGTCACACACAGCTCCGAATTCATACACAAATCCCCCCCCCCCCCCCCCCCATGTGGTAATACACAAGGCCTGTCACGCATATTAAATAGCCACTTCAAAAGGCAACTGCTGCTAGAGAAGGGCACAAGATTGTTTTCTTTTCAAACCCATAAAAACGCTGCAGCCCGTTCCATTACTTCCATTATGCAACAGGGTCTCACTATCCGCCTACCAGCCTTTTTACACAACTGGGGCTGCCAGCGACTCCCCTCATTTGCATGAATACATTCACCTTTGGGCAATTTGCATGTTGATGATGCTGTGCTAATGCAGCCAAATTCACGGAGAAAGACGAGGGAGGAGGAAAAGAGATCAGAGGGGGAGACGTAACAGGCGCGGCGACAAAGTGGCTTGTCTGTCGAAGGGGTGCGCGTGCTACCACAAGGCTATGCTAATGGGAGCTAGCGTTACTTATTACACGGAGGGGGAGTCTTGATTGGAGGGCGGTGATGGGGAGGGGACAACCTGTAAGAGAGGACCAAAGACAAGTGAAAACCCTGAAAACGAGTCATTCACTGAGTTCAGCTGAATTAACTCAAGTAAAGTTACTTCGACATCAAATGGAGCTCAAACTGCTGCACTAGACTCACAGAAGAAAGAACAATAGAATGAATATTCAGAGAACAATGGTCGGAGCCAGAGCACTTCAGCGGGAAGGAGGTTTCATTCAGCTATTTCACAACTTAAAACTGTTAATATTATTATTATTATTCCCGTCATGCGGGAAACTTCTGGTGACTCGACTATTGGTGACTCTTGAAATCGTGCCGTTTTGAAGCAGTTACTAGCTTAGCTGAGTGACGATTACACTACTTTTCTCCTGGGTGTATAATTTTCTTTACTTCCATCAAATGTGCCCTTTCAATGGGTTTAAAAGAAAACAAGTTAGGTAACAGGAAATAAAGAAAAGGAGAATTTAGTGGAAAACATGGCTGTGACCTCAAGGGACAAATCCAGAGTAGTTTTTGTTCTCCCCCAGTGTGCTAAAAGATTCAGCAGGTAACGGAGAGCGGCGGATGCTGACCAGGAGGAGGTTGGTGCAGACGTTTAAAGAAGCAGCGCGGAGGGGAGAAGCGACAGCAGGATCAGCTATGTCCTATCCTTACCGACCCCGTACCGCAAACAATCCTTCCATTTAAAGAACATCCCGGCTTCCCTCGTCTCTCCTCCCGTTGGCTCAACAAAATACTGCTCGGGCTGGATAGATCTACTCGATATCAAGAAGTATGCAAAGTTCTCCAGCCAAACAATACTGAAGGTCCTTCCCTATTGTGGAAAAAAATATTAGTCTCATGGTTTCCTCTGCAGCCCTTCACGACGAGCGCTTTCAATTGCCTACCTCGGAAGCTCGCTATTATTCAAACAGTCCCCTTCTGTACAAACAGCTAGCCAATGCAACGCAAACAAAGCTCACATTCAGGTCCTTTTTTGTGAAATTAAGTCTGCTATTGGTCTCAGTATCCCTTTTAGGGTTACGCGTATTGGTACAAGCGATTCGATGCTGACAAAGAGCTGGGTCAGTTATCTGTGAATTACGTGCTGATCTGGTACGGAGTACAAATATTACCACAGCAGCAGCTTGGGCGTTTCCTCTGGCCCTCCTGCGAAGGTAACTGGAATTGTTCATTTGGCACAACACATCTCAGGATTAAGTACAATGAGTGCTGGTAAGGTAATGCGTCGGTGTCCTCAAAAGAAACACATAAAGCGCATTAACAAAACAATAAAGAGAACAATACAAATGATGAGGAAATACGATTCTTCTGCATCTGATAAGCGCTGATAGGTAATTCTGGAAGAGATGAGAGGCCATTGTCCCCGAAACAGATGCTGTGTCGACAGCGGGGCGAAAAACAATCCCGTAACACAAGATAAAAGCTATCTGTGATCTCATTAGAGGTGGTGATGTCAAGCTAGCGAGGTATAAAATGGTTCGGCCCAACTATGATGACAGGGCACTTATGGAATAAGATACAGTAAAAATGTCAAGGCACTTTTTTCTCTGCAGGGGGAGGTGGCGCGGCATGGGGGGGGGGGGGCTTTGCCTCTTCATTTTGTCAATTTTCTTTCCTAAAAAGAGACAAGACACAAAAGCACACTGCTGTGCACAAACTTACAGTATAGTCAGGCTTCTTTTTCACAGGCAGAATACGAACAGGAGCAGACTGCACACAAATCTGCCTCTCTTATCGGTAAGTGGACTCTGTCCCGATCACACCGACAGGCCAGCACAGGCACGCACACTTCCTCTGACATCACACACACACACAATCCTTCCGTCCATTTGGCTCACGCCCCCCCCCCCCCCCCCCCCCCCTTTGGCTGACGGACCGGGGGACAAGGAGGGGCCCCCTGCCCCCAGGTTAGCCGAAAAAACGACCCTTTAAAAAAAGGCTCCGCGAGAAAGGGACTGGTTTTTGACCCCCCCCCCCCCCCCCCAATTGGGCACCCCCCCCCGAGAGGGAGCCTTACGAGAACCCCCAAACTGTGTAAACTCTTGTGTGTGTGAGGGGGGGGCGCGTAAAAATGAAGAGGGGCCCTTTGACCCCACAGAGGGGCCCGCCCTACGGGCTATATATTAGCATATAGCCCTCAGCAGGCCATTATTTGTGCGCTAATAATCACCAACACACTCACATTTCCCCTGACAGCCGAGCGGAATGACAAACCGCAATCGCAGTGTCACGTAATTATTAATTGCGGAAGAATCAAGGCGTGAAAGCAAACATTACTTCCTACTCATGCGTTCCGTTCTAACACATGACTTCCCACAGATCAAAGAAAGCTGGTAGTGTTAAAAAGAGGAAAAGGGAAAAAAGAAGAAAACGGTGTGGAATAAAATACTCACTGAATGGGAAACTTTGTCAATTTTCATCCAGCTCTGCGTCATTGCAGTGGCCCCCCCACACCCACACCTACCCCCCACTCCCCCTGGGGGCCGGAAGCACCCTGAGCTCCCCCTGAGAAAATATCCGCCTGGTGACGCAAACTGCACGACCACCGCCAGGAAAGAGCTGACAGCGCTGGTTCATCTCAGAGCGATGACAAGCCACTGGTTTAAAGTCTGCGGCGTCTCTTTAACGCGAGTCCCTAAAGTGATCTGACTTCTCTCTTCCTGTTGCCTCGCTGAGGAAATGTAACTTTAAAACCCCTCCTCATCCTTTCTGCATGTGTGCACGCTTTAGCACGGGCTCTCGTGTCCAAATGAATCACAGGCAATTTAAAGTGAGACGTTATTACGCGGTTTAAGGGTCATGTTTACGGCATGAAAACGACTGAAAGGGAAAGGATGGATGGATGGATTGACTGGCTAATGAGAGGGTGGGTGAGTGAATGGTTGTATGATTATATGGATGGATGGATGCATTGATGGATGTGTGTGTATGTGGGGGAGGGGGTCGGATGGACGGACAGGAAGCCGATCACTTACCATCTATCCTGCTGACGAGCTCTTCCAGGGCCTTGACTTTCTTCTGGATGCCCGGCTGGGCAAACGTGTAGTTGTCCTGAAGAAAGGGAGAACCAGACAGGGTCTGTTTACAATGGGAAACGGAGGCTCTGGGAAATATCTCATCTTTCATTATTAAATACTAAATACTGGACTGGCCATTATTCGCTGAACAATGGCCAGTCCAGTATTTAGCCAAACAACCACGAGATCAAAGTGTGAAAGGGTGGAATTGCTGTAAAACTGAAAGGAACGGTGGTTATATTCTGCTTGGAAACACGGGGACTCTTCAGGGTTTTTTTTAACCTGTTTTTGTCTGACAAAGAGAAAAAATATTGCTTCAATTTCTGCGCTTTCACACCACAGATGGAGCTGTGTTTATTAAAAACGTGCAAGATCAGGAAGCAGGGCCCACTTTTACGCCTTTGACCTCTTCTGACGGATCCACTTGTTCCTTCTCAATGAGGAGTATTTTTTGTTTATTGAGACATTGTATAGAATAAAATGAAAGAAGAGCACTTCAATTCCTCATGTATTTTATATATTCAAGGCTGTAATCACAATAGAGCAATGCCTTTTCTGAACGTCACTTTTCCGCTGAGGCTTTGAAGGCATTAAATATGTTGTGTTAAAGATAAAATTTAAAAAAACGCAAAGCGACCGGACCTCGGATAAGCCTATGAGGATGAGAGATGAAAAAACACAAAGCCACAAACTCACACGTACGTTACAGCTTAGTTCCATCATTCAATAAAAGTATAATAGTAACCGGACTATTAACAACCCCCCCCACACACACACACACACACACTCACACCCACAAGGATTACGTTTCCTTGAGGGGTCATTTCAGTGTGGCTGGAGAACAGCTGATGTGGCAAGCTATCCAACAGATGGAGATATGGAGAGAGAAAATGAGAAGGGGAGAGAGACACACAGACCGAGAGAGAGAGAGAGAGAGAAGTCATTTAGCAATAAACAGCTCCAGGTGTCCTTCAAGCTCAGCAGAACCAAGACCAGTGTGTCCTCCCGAGTCCCTCGGTGGCCGGCAGGGCAGGATCCACATTCTCTCCTCTTTTTCCTCTTTCCTATTGTCACTCCTTTTTGTCTTTCCTATTATCACTTCCTTTTGTCCTTCCTATTCTCACTTCTTATCTTTCCTATTATCACTTCCTTTTGTCCTTCCTATTATCACTTCCTTTCGTCTTTCCTATTATCACTCCTTTTTGTCGTTCCTACTATTACTCCTTATTGTCTTTCCTAATAATCACTCCTTATTGTCTTTCCTATTATCACTCCTTTTTGTCTTTCCTATTTTCACTCCTCATTGTCTTTCCTATTACAACTTCCTTTCGTCTTTCCTATTATCACTCCTTTTTGTCCTTCCTATTATCACTCCTTATTGTCTTTCCTATTATCACTCCTTTTTGTCGTTCCTACTATTACTCCTGGTCTTTCCTAATAATCACTCCTTATTGTCTTTCCTATTTTCACTCCTCATTGTCTTTCCTATTACAACTTCCTTTCGTCTTTCCTATTATCACTCCTTTTTGTCCTTCCTATTATCACTCCTTATTGTCTTTCCTATTATCACTCCTTTTTGTCGTTCCTACTATCACTCCTTATTGTCTTTCCTATTATCACTTCATTTTGTCCTTCCTATTATCACTCTTTATTGTCGTTCTGACTATTACTCCTTATTGTCTTTCCTATTATAACTTCCTTTTAGTCTTTCCTATTGTCCCTCCCTTTCGTCTTTCTAGTATCCACCCACCTCCACGTGGGCCCTTTCACTGCCATCTCACCATCTTAGATTGAGGAGTGGGCTACATCGATAAAGGCAGAGGCAGTAAACTGTGCGTGAGGACGGACAGCAGCAGAGCTCAACGTACAGCTCGGTCACAATGACTCAGAATTGAAACAAATCAGCTCTTTTATTATTAAATATAGATTTCAATACTGGTCTCAAAAAATACCTTCAGCCCAACCCGAACTTCTACTCCAAAACCCATCATCCTTCCTGGTCCCTTTTCTCGTTGTCGTCAATTGTATATTTATACATGGTCGCCCTCTCTGGCTCCTTCTTTCCACCAGCCCGCGTTAATGTGGCGAGGTGTGGCGAAGTAGTAATTACATTTGCATCATCGAAGCTTCTGGCATCCATTCTCTCTCTCTCTCACTTTCTTTTCTCTCGCTTTGTCTTTTTCTTCCCCTTCAGCAACTTTTTTTTTCCTTCTTTATTTTCTCTCTCATTATTATAAACTGCTGCCTCACACATTCCTCCAGTTGGGCTTTCTCCACAACATTGGTTCTCATCCTCCAGCCTTGAGCTACTTCAGTGTCCATCACAATCTCTTCCATCCACTTGTAAAGCTATTGCGAGCACACGACCTTTGCCGTTTTAAGGGTTTCTTCTTTGAGCTTCTCCATGTTCATCTCTCCAGTGTAACAATTCCGCGGGACTCTTTGTACTGATCGGAAAAAATTCAACGGCATGTTTGAATGGAGGGGAATGAGCCAGGAAGTAGAAATGAGGACCCAGAGGCTAAATATCTATATATTTATTCATCTTCGTATCTAGCTAAAGCAGCGGCCCATCCACTATCTATTTAAACATCTCTCTACCTTGATTTGTCAACTGTCATAAGGGATACTTTTTTCCATTGTGCTTTTGTATTGTTTTTACTTTTAGGAAAGGATTTGTACATTTATATTTCCAGCATAAATCTCAAACTCCCAAGAAAACAGGGAATGCGTTTGAGTTTTTCGAGCTTACTTACATGTGTCATCTCTGTCTCTCTCTCATTTCCTTTCTTTTACCCACCTCTTCTTTCTTCTAATTTGCATATTCACCCCTACATCTCCCTCTCCATTTCTTTGTCTATTTCCAACACTTTGGAGGTGCTAATGAGGCTAGACTTGACTTTGTGTTTCGAACATGCTATTATGTGTCCTCGGCTTTGTTTTGCTCCCTGGTGTTTCATTTTGTTTCATGCTGCACTGCATTTTATTTTTGTGGCTGATTGTTGTTTAGTTAGACCTGTTCTTCTCCCCTTTCTTTGGGATATATTTGTGACAAGGGAAGGAAGCTTATAGGAATTGCGCCTTTATTCTGCTTTTTCCTTTTCCCTTCTTTTGCGTTCACATTTACTCCTTTTCTTTCATCTTTTTCCATCTTAAATGACTTTCCTCACCTCCTCTCCTCCCTCCGCCTTGCACTAGCTCACCTCCTTTATTGCTTTTGTCCCATTTTCTCCTTTCTTATGCCCATCCTCGCTCACTTCCTCTCAAATTCAGTGTCGGATCTCTGATCAGCTGAGGCAACAGGAGGAAATCAACCCGTACTACTTCATTAATGATACATGCTCCTTTTCTCCCGCCATCTGTCCGTCCACTACATCGGACCCCGAGGTGTTCGAGGCAGCCCTGTTTCACGTAAATTCGCCGTCTCTCTCGGCCAGGTGTCAACAGCCTCTCGTTCTCTCCTTCTTTGTCCACTCACTCCGTCTCTCTCTGCCCCTCTTCTCTCTCGCAGTCGGCTGAATCAATAGCGGTTCACCTCTCAGTCCATTCTATTAGAGACGACAATGGCTCCATGCCAGACTAAGATTGCCTCCTATTGTGGCGCAGGATGTCTATCAGCACGTTGGATAGAACCAACACGACAACGCAGCGAGGGGACGAGAGAGGGAAGAGACGTAAGGACAGGGAGGGGGGGATATGAAGAGAGAGAGAGAGAGAGAGAGAGAGATGACAGGTCAAGATAAAGGGCGGACAATAAACTGAAGGACATGGCAATGATCTGTCACCCTTGTACGTGTGCGCGTGAGAGAAAGAGAAGATGAAAGTGATTGTGCGAGCCAGATGACAGGTTGTGATAAGGTGTAGACAAAGGTGCGTACAATTACAGTTGTTCAGAGCGAGAGGAGGATCAGACAGATTTCATTCTGTTGCTTTAGTGTGTGCAGGTTGAGGGCGGTGAAGTTGAATGTGAGTTGGCAGCACAGGGGGGCGGTTGGTCCATACTTTAACCTCGTTGCACCTGGCCTGCGCTAAATGTGACTAATCGCCAAGAGCTGGTGGAGATGCTACCGGTTTGGCGGGCACTTCTTCAATAAACCAAAATGTAGTTATAGAAGACACCCACTTTCATGGCTATCTAGCCGGTAGATGAAACCACATTGTCCAAATAGTCCACGTCACGACGCCACGGAGGATCGTCGCATCCTTCGCCAACGCCTCTATCAAGCGTCTTGGAAATCCATCTAGTAGCAGAGGAGCCAGACGGAGTGGTGCACCAACAAACCAGCATCCTGAGATAAGCTAAGAGCCCAAGTACCCAAAGTTGGCCCAGATTTCTAGAAAATATAAAGTAAACCAAAAAACATGACCCCCCCTCCCCCACCCCCCCTCCCTCCTCCTGGCTAGAAGCCTCCTGGATTTAAGATCAAGCATTATATCCTGGACGACATTTGTGTGACATTTTTATAACAAGCTCATTTAGTTTGGTTAAATACATGTTTTGTGAGGTCACAGCGACCTTTGACCACCAGGCGTCCAGGAGAATGGAGCGGACCACAGACGGGGACGGAGAAAATACATTTTAAAAAGTAGAGCTGAGGGTCGGAAGTATAAAAAGGTTTTCTCCAATTCCCTACCCCAATTACCGAAACCATGTATTAAAACGGATGTGACATCGAGGAAATGAGGTCACTGCTGAAGGCAGAGCTTAACCTGGTTAATGTGAATATGAGGCCGCCGCCTAAGTCTGTGTCTCTTGGACGATTGAACCTGAGAGCGCTTTGCCAGCCGTCCCTTTTGAACATACGGTAACGGTAGTAGCCTTCTTCATAGCTTTCACTTTGTGAAGGGGCCTGTTTACCCGCGAGCGAGCCAACGACGATTGCTTGGAAGTGCAAATGTAAAAGCTTTCTTTCGTTACATCAACAGGAAGTACAAGGAAGTAACTGCTGCAGAGAGATTAACCTGCACTTTAAGCCCGCCTTGCCGGAAGAATTGTGGAATAGAAAGAAACCTGCCTTGCCCTACATGACCCTTAATGTGATCAGCACCACTTGTCCCTCCGCTAACAATGTTCTTCATCCAGCAGGAGGGCGCACGCCCTTTTCCTTTGTGCCTTTCCTAATGCATAGACGTCCCCCTCAAGCCTCAGCCTATATTCTCTGGAATAAAGAGAGGGGCCAAGAGGGGTTCAAGGTGAGCTGAAATGAAAAATGTGAAACCTTTCAGATCACATCCCCAGTCAATTTGCACTTATTAAACCATAATTTTTAAAAAAAGGGACACAAAAGAAGAAATTTGATATTTTTATAAGAAAATCCAGGCATCGTTTCATCCTCAAAACAAAACATTAAGTCTGCTCATGCGAGCTAGTAGCGACCAATGAATCCATCCATTCTCGGACTTCCGCTTCACCGGGACTTCGAGGTCAACAGCGAGGTGTCATGGAGTATCACACGCACTGCGATACGACCTGGCAAACAGACCATACAAACACATGCACATGTGCAAACAAGATGCAGAGCATCTCACGCACACGTGCACACACCAGCTGGCAGATCAGTGTTCCTGTGTGTGTGTGTGTGTGTGTGTGTGTGTGTGTTGGATTGAGTGACAGCCCACTGTGACAGTAGACCCCCCTTGAGGAAACGACAACAGGACACAGAGTCGGGTTTGGTCAGGCTACCGTCTGCTAGCCGTCAATCCCTGGACCCCTGTTCCCATTCGAGGGAGACCCCATCTATAGCCGGCACCGCAGAAACAGATGGTTGCCTTGACAATGAGCAGGCAGAGTCCAGGGGGGGGGCTGCAGGCAGCGACGAGGGCGCTGCAAACCGTTGAGTCGTTAATTGAATGTTGATTTTTTTTTTTATCTGGCGGCTTACTTTGATGGAGAATGGGTTCGCCTGATTTGACTTTGTCCATACGGAAGATCTTTTCAACCTCGGGGGCATTTGGGCATCAGTGAGTATCCCGACGAACGGTGTGGGACTCAATGCATGAAGCAGAATTGAAAACCCGCCAAACATCATTCCTGCTCGGCCATTTACCTCTGAAGCTTCTCGACCAAGTGCAGAAAAATGATATATGAATATAGACGTCCTTCATGTTCTCTGCTCTGTGGTGGCTATAAATAAAAATGACTCTGAAGTTAATATTAAGACTACACCTGTGTGTCTGATGAAAAATATCAACATCTCCAAACGGCGTTCATTTCCGGAGGGGAAATTACTTTCCTCAAAGTTGGGCCCGGGACTGAAAAAATACATTTAGAGGCCCCCCCCCCCCCCCCGCTGTAGAAAGGCATATCTGCAGAATTAACATAAAAGGCAGGTTTTCATCTGCCCGGGTTTAAAAACAGGAGAGTCCTTGGGGGCGTGTTGCAGGAGTAATGGACTTTTTTTGTGGTTACTTTTGAATTCATTCTCCTCTCTTGGTGCGACAGGTTAGAAACTGGCTGCCTCACAGCTCGTACCGCAAAACTGCTACATACTGAGAGTGACAAGAGCACTCAAAGATTGGTGGACAAAGGACTAAATAGGCAAGGCTTTCTGTTTTTAATGACGAGTTTACCTATATAGGATAAGGTTTGAGCTCAACAGGACATAGCAGGGAAAGTAAGGAAAAGTTTCAACTGTCCAATTTAGCGAGAGTACAAGACTAATTGGCTGCTGGAGAGGCCGAGGTCAGCTCAACAGAAATGCTGATTCATAGGAAATCTGTCTACTTCTTTTTTCGTCAGTTTAATTTAGGTTTTATTTTTTAGAGGATGATGAAAGCCCATTTACCGCTTTAGTGGTAGAGCCGTGAACATTTGTTGATCCTGACAGAACTAGATGAGGCCAACGTGTGCAGCCTGTTTAATGTGTGAAATGACTGCGGGGTGGGGGGGTACTGCGTGCCATTCTCCTGTTGTTGATGCTTGTCCATTTAGCAGTGCCTTAAAGGTCACTGCCAGGAAAGAAGAATGGCTGTCTTCGCTCATGTAGCCCTGCAACTGTCACTCACTGTCTGCCAACGCGATGTGGGTGAAGTGTGCGATGCGTTGTTCATTGGCCTGGGGGTGTGTAGTCCTGGATGTCAGCCTGACAACGCGGCTAATTTCATCAAAAGCACACATTCTCACACACACACGCACACACAACGAAATGTGGCTCTTCAGTCCGTCCCCAGCCGTTAAAAGGGGTCATCCAAAGATGTAGCAATTCTCTACATTTTAGTGCTTTTTGAAGTGTGAAGATTAACACAAAATGAAACGTCCCCCTCAACAACTCATTTATACAACCGGGACACCTACGTACCTCATAACCGGGCCCGCTCCGAAGGGGGCGGGAGCTGCAGTGTTGCCAATTAAAGCGGCGGCTCATTAGAGAAGCCTCTTAAGCGAATTGACGGCCAGAACAGCCTGTTGGCTTTTTTTCTCTTAGGTGGCAGTGAGACACTAAAAGCAGAGCTAATGGCCAATTTACTGCATTGAAAAATTAGAAAAACTTTCAGAAGTACTTCCACTGTACCAGGTACTATAATCATATACAATGCAGGGAAACTACAGCAGCAGTTTCATGGATGGAAGATTATTTTTCTCTTTTAGCTTCCAAATGCCCCAAACCTTCTTTTTTTTTTCAAACCTCCCACTTTGCAGCGCATTGTGACACATTTAAAAACCCGTTCAATAATTCATACAAATTGGTCAGAAACAAGCGGCCACCAGCGAGGCGCTAAGCGGATTGTAACCTGGGCAGCCTCTCGTTCCTCCATAACCCCAGGGCCCCCCACCTCAGGGTTAAGTGTGCAGTGGATGTGAGAGGGCTGGAGACGAGGCCAGAACAGGGATCACCAACTCATCACGGAGCGTAGGCACCCGCCTTCGTCAGATTGTTTACAAAGCATTGGAGGGGGGTGGGTGGGTGGGTGGGGGGGGGGCGCATGGACTTCCCTGGTGCATTGCGTGTAATTAGTTTGGAGCCAAGGTCACAAACAAACACGGCCGCGGGGGGACTTAAATCGGCACGCGCGCACAAAGAAGCACACTCCATTTTTCTCTCTTACTTCCTCCCTCCCCCACTGTCTGTCTTTCACTCCCCCCCCACACCCTCCGTCTTGATCTCTCAGGGGCAACAAGGCGCAGCCTCTATTAATTTCTTAAATGAATAGCCAACCAATTGATGGTTATTTATGGATGACCACGCTTCATGTGCACCACATGCTCCTCACTATTAATTAACTTTAGCGTCGGGCCCGGCGATGTGTGGACTTTGACGACACCGGGTCTGTTTTTAATGCACAAGTGTATTAACCAACATAAACTATTAGAAATGATCCATTAGAACCCTCTTCCACCCCCGAGACGTCGCCTCGTCGCCACAGTTTTTTTTTATTTCCAGACGACAATAAGGCCATTGCCTGATTAATACACTTAAACACTAACTTCTGCGGCCATCCCCCTAAAGTGTTACTTTAGATTAGGGTCATTGACCCGACCGGGGAAGGCAGATGCTTTTTAACTGTGCCAGCAAATGGTGGGAAGAGTAGCTGTGCTAAAACATGTTCGCACAGGCCAGCAGTGACACCCGGGCGGTTAGAGCCAAACAGACTCCTGGTACGAAGGCAAATGTTACATGACAATGATGAGAATGACGGCATCCACGAAGGCGGAGCGTTGTCTACTTTAACCCACGCAGGGAGGACAATGACCTATGACCAAAGACCTATTTTAGAGCAGAGGACGTCACAGGTAAGAGACGTTTAGGGCCAATCTCCTGCTGTCCCAGGCTGGCGTGTTTAGAGTTGATGGATGGCTCAACTACGACCCCAGAGAGCGTGGGCGATTCAGAGAGCCGGGTGGGTAAAAAAGGGTTTTGGGAACAGATGATGAAACACGAAGCCTTGGCGCAGTTATCCGGCCTCCGGACACTCGGGCCTGCCTCAGAAAAAAATATGCAAGACAATCCCATTTACCAAAACCCACGTGGCTTTGTGCACAATGCTCACGGTGTGCGTCACTGCGATCTGAAGCGCCATGCACATTAAAAACTCTTCTCAGCAACGTTACGCACTTGGCGAGGATTGCTTTGTCATGAGCGGAATGTTTCCTTGGTGAAGAACACTGGGTGCCAGATGCACCAAGAGTTGAGATTTCATCCAAACAAAAATGATGACTGGTGTGTTTACTGCATGTTGAGTTAAATCAGATAACAACTGGGCAAATTGCCTCCTAAGTTAGCGTACGAGCGTGACCAGTTGTCAGCTGTGTGCCGCTGCAGAATTAATGTGGGGGGGGGGGGGGGGGGGGGGGTTTTTTAAAAAAAAAAAAACCCAAAGGGGCTCCTTTAAACCGGAAGGTTTTGGGGGGGAAACAGGTCCCCCCCCCCACGATTCCCAAACGTCGCTGTTATAACAATAAAAAGATGAAATAGTGAGTAGGAAAGCTGCATAAACAGCAGTAATAGTTTTTCTCTGAAGTTTGACGAGAGGAGATTTAAAATAACCTTTTTCCCCTTCTTTGCACATTTAGTGAGGCTTTACTGAGTGATGCATACACCACTGTAAAAAGTAGACTTTCAGTCATAAAGAACCTAATCGATTAAGCCGATTGGACGGCTGCAGACTAGCGTAAACAGACCAGATACCAGAGAATACGTCTGGTACATGAAAGCAGACGTGGGCATTTGGAGTTTGTTCTAAAGCAGCTGCATCTTCTCGGCGTTCGCTCACCTGGATGCCGTCCAACAGTTTGCTCATGCACCAGAAGCTGTCGGCCTCGATGTTCCTCAGGGCCTCTTCCTGGAGACTGGACACGTCGAAGTTCTCCACCTCCTCCTCTGAAGAAGACAAAAGGGGGACAGGGGGAGAGAGAGGGTGATAATCAAGCAGTCGACGGGAAAGAGATGGGGTAACTAAAAATGCGAGGAAGGTGGAAGAGGTGAAGGGAAATCAAGCGGGGGCCTCGAAACTAAGCTCGGCACTCGGAACAGGGAGAGCAAGAACATGAGGTCAGACGGTGTGGGCGAGGGGGGAGTGAGGTTGGCGTGGCGTTGACAGGGACGCGTGGAAAGGAACCAACACACTGACATATTAGAGATCAGGAGAATGGGAGGAGGGACGAACTCGAACTAAAAACAGAGGTTCAACCTTCTTTCCCGCAGCTAGGTTGAATATTCTGAAAATGTAACACGCTCTCACACGGAGTAATATGTACTTTTTAAATTGCAGTCACCTTGAAAGTGTTCAACTTCATTTTTGTCGTGTTTGCTTCAAACTCGCTTCGAAGCAAAACTACGGCTTCAAAAAGAGGTTACAGCAGCATTTGTAAGGTGTGCGAGGGGAGAGGGAAGCACGTTGTGGGAGGCTGGGAATGAACGCTGCGGAATCAGGGCAACTGCGAAGGGCAATAAAATGCACGGAGGAGGCGGCGGGCGGCGAGCAGCGAGCGCCCCGAGCTCCCCTGCCATAACCGGCGGGTGACTTCAGCAGCGTGTGACGGAGCGCGGGGGCCTTTGACGGGCTTCTGACAAGCCCCCGACAGCCAGTGGAGAAGAGACTGATTAACAATGATCTACTGAGAGAAGGTGGTGGAGCAGGGGGGGGCAGAGAAAAGGGACACGCTTGCGAGCGTGCAAGGCGTGTATGTGCGGTCACATATCAAAAAAGAAATTCACGCACACACCTGGCAGCGCTGCTCGGTATCCTTGGCAACCCCAGCGGAGTGTCGCCAAGGTTGTAATGAGCATGCTCACTCTGACGGACAGACGGACGGGGAGCCGTCGGCGGGCCAGTACTATGAAGCCAGTCACAAGGAGGTGGCGGGACGGCTCCATTTTCAGGGAGACCTTCTTATCTCATCACACCCGGATGGATCAAGCATCAAGCAGGCCCAGGAGCAGCCCCCCCATCCCCCTCCTCCTCCGGCAACCAGGTCTTCACGGGTCTGTCAGCGCGGTTCATTCTGACCACAGCACAAATGCGAGCGACTGGACGCGGCCGCGGGCCACAACGTTACCGACATGATTGGTGCACAGAGATATTCATGAAATAAAAAAAAATAAAAAAAATCTGACAGCCAATGTGATGAAAGCAATATTTCTGCCCCGCTTCAATTGGGGCCACGTGTGAAGTCCACAACGATCAGCTAAAAGAGAAACGCGGCATTGAGGCGCAGCTGTCAGGAACGGAGCAGAGACGCCGTCGGTCAGTATTCGGTTTGATGGCTCCTGCACAGCAACACATGAATGGAGCCCCCCCCTCTCTCTCCATTGGATATGTAGTTTGAATATATTTACTGTAAACTTGTAAAACAGGCAATCCGCGCGTCCCAAAGGCCTCAAACCAGTCACTGTCGGGCTCGCCTTCAAAATCCACGGACCTCCACTGGGGTCATTAGTCACGTTCACAGCCAGGCAGTCCGGACAGCTCGTTCTGTTCACCGTTTAGAAAAGGACGAGGCGATCCGACTGCCTCGGCTTTATTCTCATGAACCGCGCCGACCACCTGCAGACTACCAGTGTTCTGGTGACACAAGCAACAAAACAAAGAGCTACACGGGGGGGCCACCTTGAACCCTGCCACGGGCCGTTTGTGGCCCCTGATTGGTCTCACCGGCTCCTACCCCGCCTCAGGGCCTATGACGTCCCGAGGTTCTTAGGAGGGAGGGAAGTCACTGGCGCGGCAGACGAGTTCCGCTGTCGGTGCATCAACTGGGATGCGCTGAGAGAAGCAGCACACGCCTTTGAAATCTTTGACTTACAAAAACGGGACCGTTTTATTTATGATTCCAAACTTTCTCCGACAACCCGAATTTAAGGTGAACTATTTTTCTCTTATTGACACGGTCTCAGTTTGCATGCCCTCCCCCCCCTTTCCACCTCCACAATCTGCCGCTCGTGTCTCTTCTCATACCTCGGTCTCCCTCTGATGGTCTATTGATCTCTCATCCGGTACGTCAACGCTTTCCCTCCCTCCCTTGTTTCCTCCCCTTCTCCTACACTCGTTTGACATGTCTTCTATTGCTACCCTTGCCTCTCCAAGCGCTTCCCCCCCCCCCCCCCCCGCCCCGCCCCCTCTTCTCATTGGTCGCAGAGACAGTTTCCTGCCAGGCTCAGGGGCTTATTTCCTGTTTTTCCTGGTTCAGGGAGGAGAAGGGAAGGGGGGGGGGCGCAACCTGTCCAGGGAGACCTGGCAGCACTGCCAGCTGTGAGCACTTGGCACAGCTTGGCATGCAGAGTCGGGGTTACACCTCCGGAGACCGAATGCCGAGCGCACACGCCCCCACTCAGACACATACATACACACACACGCCCCCACGAACACATGCACACATGCTTGTGAGTGTACACAACGCGCGCCATCTGCCCTCCACAAATATGGGCCACAGGGTAATGTGATGTAAGATGATAAACGAGCCAGTTTATCTTGATGCAATCATAAAGTCTGTGTATCCCAAGTGTGTGTGTGTGTGTGTGCCTTTGCAGACTGCAATAAGAAACAGTCCCGTTTGACAGCCTTCTGTTAGTTGTTGATTAATCACAAGCAAACCGGAGTTGTAGGCACACTGAGAGAGAGAGTTTTAACAAGATTTTCCAGAAAAGTCACAAGATCACATGACGCCGTGCAATTTACAGCCACGGTTTGGGTTTAAATCGAATGAATCTAACAACCCAAAATTGGGTCGCCGAAATCCAAAGATGTCGCACAAAACACAAAATGAGACCCAGGTGACAGGGCCGGAAATGCTGGCGCAATATTTGCACCTCGCGGCATCGTCTCACCCCCCCACGCTCCCCTCCTCTCTCTTCTGTAACAACATAACACGTGTGATCTCTCCACTGTTGCACAATTAGCATGATAACACCGCTGGTAATGAGACCTGAACATTTGTGTTGTTGAATTGTTTTTTTTTTTTTCAAGGAGAGGTGGCATTGGATAATTAAGAAGAGAGTCGACCTGGAATGCCTGGTGTCACTAACAAATTAGCAGCACGCACGCACGCACGCACGCACGCACGCACACACACTCTTCTTCCTGTGTGTGTGTGTAAGGACAGATGAGAGAGTGCAGACGGTGGAAGTGTTACGATGGGAGGTGAAGTATCAATTATTAGAATTCTTTTTTGGGGTTCACAAAACTAAGAAACCTATCTAGAATCTCCAGTCTAGTTCCCACTCCCCAAAAATCCGATCAATAGGATGTTATCCAGTGTCTTGGCCTCATAGCCATGGAAGTTCACAGCTTTTTTCCTCCTCATTGAAAGCCCTGAACCAGCGATAAGCAACGCTGTGGGCCGCCGAAATCTACAGGATCACTGCAACAATGTTCTCATCTCCCACTATCTGCACCGTAAGCCATGTGTCCATACATCAAACAGCGGGCCCCACAGCTGCTGGCAAGATAATGCAAGTCCTTGACATCAAATGGAACAAGCTATTAATGCCATATCTGCCTATCTGCAGACACGTAATGATCCACTTGGCCCCGGGGGTGAGACGCCGCCTCGTGTGCAAACGTCGAGCGCGGCTAATGTATCTTCCCTCTTCCCCCCCCCCATCCTCCCTCTCCCCTCTCCCCCTCCCACTCCCGCATTGGCTTGTGGGATGTTTGTACGGCACATAGTGCCAGCGACGCTGAGCAGCGCTCACACAGGCGCGCAGGGGGCGGAGTGGAGTGGGCATCGCCGAATGATCGGAGGCACTCTAGGCGGGCCGGGCGCCAGGAACAACATGTCCTGCGACGAGGCGCTGAAAAACATCTCGGCACAAGATAGGGGGGGGGGGGGGGGGCGAAGTGGGGAAAAAAAGGAGAGACATCGAGAGGCATTTTTTATCGAACAGATGTGGGTGGTCGTATGTCACTCAGTTGGTCGTCATTGAGCAGGCAGAGGCAAATCAGGGTTTGTGGATCTAGTGTTTTATGGGTCGGAGAAGACCGGGATGGTTCCGGAGAAGTTATGATGGACATTTCAAAGAGCAGAAGAAAAATGGATTCATTTGAAAAACAATAATCCGTTCAAGCCCCACTTTGATCCGACTAAGGCATTAGTACTGACTGCTGTCATTATGTCACAAGAGGTTGAGCAAAGCCGGCTCCAATGTAGCACCTTTCTGGACCCCAAGTCGAGTGTCTGTATTAACGATTGGTGCTGAATCAGTCATGTATGTAACCCCCCCCCGCCCCCATCAGGCTTTCACACAAGTCAATCAATGTCCTTTTAAAGCAATGTAACTTCTCACGGACACGCATAAACTGCTTTTAATCGCGCCAGGCCAGTTCTAGTACAGGTGTGGAAAATCTGCCGAGCTGAACGTTCAGGAGTGGCGGGTCCATTAAGTCCTAAATGTGTGTGTGTGTTTGTAATCTACAGGCTTATGGGCGAACAGTGATGGGGGGCCGTTATGAACGACAGCTGCCACATTGAAACGACGGAGCGACGCCTGAAGCGGTCGCACGCGGATATTAGTGCGAGCGGGTGAGGGCGCGCGTACGAGTCTTTTTGCACGCGAGCGGGATGACGCAACTCCGAACACCACACGCCGCCGTAGGACGACTGTCTGAATTGCATCCAATTGCATCAGGTCAAGCAAATCGCGTCTCAGTGGTGACAGAACAATAGAATCCCCCCCCAATAAAAGTGCTGATAGGGAAAACGAGATATAGAGACTTGGAGTGATCTGAAGCTCCTCGGTGTGGAGGGCTTCAATTTGTGGCTTTTAATAGTCACGTAATTAACTTAATCTAAAAATATTCAATAACCCCTGTGATTATTCACAGAAGATAAATCATTTCTTGACAGAACTATTTCTCCGGATCATTTCGGCGCTCTATTGCTTTT